CTCATTTAATTCTCCAACAATTTTCTGAGGTAGTAAGACTATTTTATGGATAAAGAAATGGAGACTAAGAGAAGTTAAATATTTAGCTTCAGGCTACAACACGGGTAAGAAGCAAGGTCAAGATTAAAGCCAAGGACTTTCAGTAGCAGTCTGTCCTCCTGGCCCCCACAATGCAGCTGCTTTTAGAAAGGACTAGAGAAGCAGCAATGCAGTAATGCACATTAAGCATTTTGAGCACTGCCAACCTGCTCAGTATGTATACCACCATCTTTTTGATGAAGATGGTGGATGTTATGGAACATTCAAAAGAATGCTAGACAATTTTTAGTGTGGTACAGATGAAAGAGCAAAAGAGGGTTAAACTATTCTAGTGTTAGTGTCTTCCTTAGAATACCTTTCCCAGGAGGTATCCCCAAACCAAAACCAACCAACCCAAAACCAAGGTTGTTGTTCCAAAATCAAATGATAGCAAAGCACCAAATATCCGAATCCTCCTCTTAAAGATTGACACGTGCATCTTACATATTACAGGCTCTGAGAGGTACTGCAATAAAGGATTGCACTTCAACCCTGAGCTCCCTGCAAGTTGCTTGACCAAGGTAACCTTTACTCCCTTTAAAGCACTATTAATTTATCAAAACTTGCAGAACACACCTTGGGAACCGTAGAAACTAGTCTGATGTATGTCCAGCCAGCTCTGTGGGTCTGTGGCTATGAACATGAATCTAGAGGCCTTGTCATGCACACTCCTGAAGGCAGAAAGGACCAGATGACCAGTGTGAACATCTTTTAGTTCAGTCATGTTTGAATTCCCCACAGTTGATGAGAACTTGGACTTTGCATGGGGCATGTCACCATTTGTCATTCTATGACATGTTGAGTCTTCCAAAGGTACTATGTTTAAACAAGCTGATTCATGAACCTCAGGTTCTATCACATTATAGAAAGGAACCATCTGACAATAGAATTTCTTTTTTCTTTTTTTTTTGAGACAGAGCCTCAAGTTATCCCCCTGGGTAGAGTGCCATGGCATCACAGCTCACAGCAACCTCTAACTCCTGGGCTCAAGCGAGTCTCCTGCCTCAGCCTCCCAAGTAGCTGGGACCACAGCACCCCGCTAGTTTTTGGTTGCAGCCATCATTGTTGTTTTGTAGGTCCGGGCTAGATTCGAACCTGCCACCTTAGGTGTATGTGGCTAGTGCCTTAGCCACTTGAGTCACAGGCACCGAGCCGACAATAGATTTCTTTTGACAATATTCTTCTTTCTCTGGGAAAGGGTAAGCCCTATTATCTTTGTTTACTATTGAGTAAATTTCCATTTATATCATGCTTGTAATTAGAAGCACCCAATCTTTGATGTCAGCAAATGCATTAAATTCCTATGAGCATTTCATTTTGGGATGGGCATTACCTCTACAGTAGGCTGTGATACGGTAGAAGGTCTTTGACATACACAGAAAAATGAATTATGAAATGTGAAATTAAAAATCTCATCTCTCAGCCAGGCACAGTGGCTCACACCTATAATCCCAGCACTCCGGGAGGCCAAGGCAGGTGGATTGCTTGAGCTCACAGGTTCAAAACTAGCCTGAGCAAGAGTTCGACTCCATCTCTAAAAATAGCTGTGCGTCATGGCGGGTGCCTATAGTCCCAGCTATTTGGGAGGCTGATGCAAGAGAAACACTTGAGCTGAAGAGTCTGAGGTTGCTGTGTGAGCTATGACATGCCACAGCACTCTACCGAGGGTGACAAAATAAGATTCTGTCTCAAAAAAAAAAAAAAAATCTCACTCAGGCTGGGCTCGTGGCTCATACTTGTAATCCTAGCATTCTGGGAGGCTGAGGTCAGTGGATTGCCTGACCTCACACATTTGAGACCAGCCTAGGTAAAAGTGAGACCCTGTCTCTGAACATAGCTTAGCATTGTGACAGGTACCTGTAGTCCCAGCTACTTGGGAGGCTGAGGCAAGAGAATTGCTTGAGCCTAAGAGTTTGAGGTTGCTATGAGCTGAGATGCCATAGCACTCTACCCAGGGCAACATAATGAGACTCAGTCTCAGAAAAAAATAAATAAAACATGAACTATTAGATTTGCCAATGATAAAAATTTGGAACAATATTTTAAAAAACTCATCTCTCCATATTCTAATGTTAATTTAAAAATTTTTTTTAAAATGGACTCATAGGCCAGGTGTGGTGGCTCATGCCTGTAATTCTAGTACTTTGGGAGGCTGAGGCAGGTGGATTGCTTGAACCCAAGAGTTCAAGGGTTTGGCTTGGCGCCTATAGCTCAACCGGCTAAGGCGCCAGCCACGTACACCTAAGGTGGTGGGTTCGAATCCCCAGCCCGGACCCGCCAAACAATGACGGCTGCAACCAAAAAATAGCCGGGTGTTGTGGCGGGCACCTGTGGTCCCAGCTACTTGGGAGGCGGAGGCAGGAGACTCACTTGAGCCCAGGAGTTGGAGGTTGCTGTGAGCTGTAATGCTACGGCACTCTACCCAGGGAGACAGCTTGAGGCTCTGTCTCCAAAAAAAAAAGAGTTCAAGGGTTTGAGGTTGCTATGAGCTATGACACCATGGTAGTCTACCAACGATGACAAAGTGAGGTTCTGTCCAAAAGAAAAAAAAGAGCTCATAGCCTTTTTTAGACCCAGAGGGACTTTAGAAATCCTGTAGCATAGATCCCTCCTTCACAGATGAGGTGGGTAAAGTTTGAAAGGGTTAAACAACAGACCCCTGCAGCTTGTCTGTGGGAAGCTAGCTGAAGTCAGCTCTGAACTCTCTGTCCAGTGCTTTCTCATAAACTCTTCTCTCCTAAGACACTGTAGTCATTTTAAGGAGTTTCTTTCTTGATCTTTGGCTATAATGAAAGAGCTTGCTTCGTTTGCTTTTCTTCTGTGCAGTGGAAGGCACACCATCTGCTCTTTGGTTTTTCTGCCCCATCCCTATCATGCAGTAGAGGCTGATCCTCCACCTTACCCTTTTTTCCTACACTCTTCCCCTCTCCTTCAAAGCACTGTTCTCTTTGGAAATATGTGTGTCCAACTAACCAAGCAGTCTGTGTGCGGGAGGATGACTCTTGGTTTAATTGAGTTTTTCTAAAGTGCCTGAATTTGCCCCAAAGGTTTGCAAGGTTGGAGACCTAACAAAAATAAACTGCCATCTTTTGTCCTTTGGGCTTGTCTATGTTCTGTTAACATGTATGGAAGAATTAGTAAGTAATAAGAGAAAGAAAGGCAGAAACTCTGCTTGGAGTACTTGCCTACCCCTGGAAAAGTTCAAGGCTGGTATTCAAGGTTTGAATTTTTCCCTTGTGATTCACTTGTAGTCTCTAAGTCATCTTCATACATCTGATCAAGGACGCATCAGAGGAAAGTGTTGAGTAGTTGCATTGAAGTCAAAGTCCCCACTCACGGAATCAGTAAAGAACGTGACTTTTGCTTTGGCGCTGGGTGGTCAGAGTAAGAGCCCTCTCCTATGCTGGAAGTCCTCCCTTCCCCACAAGAACTCACCCTTTCATATTTCTCATTCCTCAATAGACACTCTGAGGGCAGGCCTGTTTTTTTTTTTTTCATTTGAGCACTTACTCTGCGACCCCCCCCAACCCCGCCTCCCCGTACCCAAGAGGGCCATGTTTTTAATCTGAGGTTGAAATGAAACCTCCCCCTGGGTGCCCAGGGACAGTCCCTTGGGGGCAGTGCCCCTCCTTCCGGAGGGCAGCATCCTGGTGGGGGTAGGGGTTCAGCTTTGATCCCAGGGCACATTTTGTCCCTGGAGACGCCCTGCCAACCAGGTACGTAGGGGGAAAGTGAAGCTAGCTGTCCGGGTCACCAAGTGGGGGTCTGGGAGCGGGACGGCTGCTTTAGAGAGGGGCGGCCGTAGGAACCCAGGAACACGGGTGGGCACAGCCAACTCACTAACTGGGCGTCTCTGGGAAGTTCGGGCGGGGTCCGCCGGCTCACGGGTTTCTTCCTCTACAATCCATCCCTGGGCAGAGCAAACCCACTTCTCACCCAAACTCGCGGAGACGAGAGATTATAGGCGGGCGCGAGGGTCGGCGAGGCGGATCCGGGAAAGGCCCGGCTAGGGCAGCCAGGCCCCTCCAGCGTGGGTCCGCCACCCGGGGAGCCAGCCCTACGGCCCCGGTCGGGGCTGCTTACACAAAGACTGTAGCGGAGGCTCCGGGACTCGGGCCCGGGATGGTCGCGGGGCACCGCCGGGCCGCCCGACCTCCCATAGCCGCTAGGCCAGCCAGTCGCCGCCACCAGTCTCCCGCCCTCAGCCGCCCGGCGAGGCGCGGCCTCCTCCACCAGCGCGGGGTCCCCTGGTTAACCCCTGCCCGCCAGCCCGGCCGCTGATTGGAGGAGGCGGGGCGCCGGGGCAGCAGGGAGCCCCCCACCTTCCTCGTCCCCTCCCCCTACTCTCCCACTGTCGGCGCTTCCCCCACCCCCCCAGGACCCCCCCCCGCCTCCCAGCCGTGCAAATCTCGCGAGGAAACACGCGGTTTCACTAGTGTGTTTACACCGATCACTACTAATCCGGACCGAACCGATCCGGATTAAGGGGCCGGAGGCGGGTCCTGGGCACCGGCGGTTCCGACTCCC